TAACATGCTAATTCTAGCTAATGGACCTGTTAGTTGGGAATCAAAAAAGCAAAAATCTGTTGCACTTTCAATGATGGAAGCAGAGTACATGGCCCTATCCAATGTGATCAAGGAAGTCATCCACATGAGAAGAATGCTGAGAGAAATGGGATTTAAGAGTTATGTGGATACACCAGCAATAGTTCACTGCGACATCCAGAGTGCTATTCAGCTAAGCAAGAATGCCATTCACCATGGCAGAAGTAAACACATTAATATAAGATATCATTTCTCCCGTGAAGCTCAAAGAAGAAGGGGAAATTAAAATAAAATTCATTCCAACCACAGAGATGAAAGCAGATAAATTAACAAAGGCAAAGGCTCTCCCGAAAAGTAAACATGAAGTGAATGTCAAGCTACTTGAGCAAAAAAACCTAGACAGAACTACTGATAACTGTTTGCGTTAGTAAAAGTAGTTAATACTATATGTATGATATATATGTGTTTATAGAGAAATTATCAAACATTTAATTATAGCCTATGTGTAGACTCTGGGCACACCAATAGAGAGGGTGTTAGGAAATTGTAAATGTAACCTTTAAACTTGGGATTGTCGTGCCCTCTACTCTACGATCCATGCCATGATCTAACTTCTGTAAACCCCATTAAGTGGCATGAGGTTTCTCATTCTTTCTATAGAATTAACATGTATTGTGTTCTTACCTCCATTTTATATCTATTTCTTTGTGTTATCTTCGTGTCAAAGATAACATGACCTTACGTTGATTGCATCCTTACATGTTTAAATCATTAAATCTTCATAATTTAATTTTGTAATGCTAAACTGTTTCTTTTTTAAAATTTGTTATAGCCTGTCACCAAACTTTAAATACAAAATGATTTAAACTTGATTTTAAAGATAATTTTAGTTGTTTAATGACCATATTCTATAATACATAGATTAAAACAACAATGCAGGAGGTCAATGATTCCAAATGGTGTGACAGAAAAAGTTAGAAAGAAGGTTGAACATAGTATTAAGAAAAATTAAGAAAATAATAATGATGACAACAATGGGGGAAGAAAAAAAGAAGAAAATGACAAAGAGAATGACTGATTTAGATGATAACATAAATGTTTACAAGATGTTGTTCAGACAAGTAAGAAAGTACAAAGGAAGGCTGGTTTTTGTAAAGTGTAATACAATTTTTGGCATACTGAGGAATGACAAAGATAGATTTGAGAGTAAACAACAATCTGGGTGATTGTAATAAAGACAAAAAGGGATAAAAGGGAAAAGGAGTTATGGTATGTAGGGTCTATGAGAAGAAATTTAAAGGAGAAAATAGGTGAGCTTAGGAAAAATGTAATTAAAAGTAGTTTAAACACAAGCCTGACACAAGATACACTAGATCAGTGTTTCTCAATGGGGGCGATATCGCCCCCATGTGGGCGTTTTTCCATGTTGAGGGGCGATTAGTAACAATTTATATTTTGGGGGTGAAAAACAATTTTCTGGGTGATATAGTAAAACATTATATTAAGAATAATTAGATATTTTATTCGTTATATTGTACAATAATTAAATAAATAACATTATACTAGTCACTAGTCTATTCAATGCAGTACGAATTTGACGTTAGTCTTGACCCTCGGCATCGGAATTTTGAAGTAAAGGGGGCGATACTACATAACGGTTTTATTGAAGGGGGCGATACTACGTTGAAGGGGGTGACGATTCGTTAGAGGTTGAGAAACACTGCACTAGATAAAGAAGTAAGAATAGTATAAGAAAAAATGAGATATTACACAAAAATGATATTTCAGTTAATTATCAATTAATATTTTTGTACTAAACAAATCCACATGTAGAAATAATTCACTTATATGAGCAAATTCCAAAAGCCAAATCAACTAAGGTGAAAAACAGCAGCTATCAAGACAAATTCAGTCAATTAACAAATAAAAACCAGTCTAATAAAAATTCATATTCATCAAAAAACCTTGTATATAATTCAATCAAATGGCAAAATATTGGTCTTCTTTTCCAAAGATTACTGGTTCATATATATTAATTAACAGTTCTCATTTTTCTTCTTGACTGACTTGACTTTAACTGTTATCATGTGAATGAGCCTTTCCCAAATATGGAAACTATTTAGATTTTGTAATAGCTATAAATAGTTTCCAAATTATGGAAACTATTTATAGCTATTACAAAATATACATTAAATTAATAGCACATTGTCACATATTTATTGGCAAATGTTGAACTAATTGAATTAATAGATACTTTCACATAACTTTGATGTGAAGAAGCCATTGACCGTCTTACTGAATCACTACTGATAAAATCTGTCGTGCCTAAATCAACCAAATGGTTAATCCAAGTTGAAAATTTGTACATATTCATTGACATTCACTAACAATACATAATAAACCCATTCTCTTGTTTTTCCCATCTTCTTTGAAATTTAGTTCTTTTGTTTTTACTAATTATGATAGAATTATTATTAACATTTAAGATTTTCTTCTGACCAACATTCAAATTTAAAATTTCCTTAGTAATTATTCTCATTAATCTCTAGTTGTCTGAATGTAAAGATGTATCAAAACAACAATCTTTTCAGACTTGGAAGTAATCAAATATTCTACAAGGTTAATGAAGTAAGCAATATACCTTTTTTTATAATGAGTAAGATTGGAGAAATGCTAACATTTTTCAATCCAGTTAATTGGCCATCCTTGGGCATCCTCAGATTAACTACAGTGGCTGATTCAGCTTTGTTCTAGAAGGAATCTCAAAGTTTAATATTGAATTCTAATACAGTATCATGATTCATGAATGGTTGTTTTCAAGCAATATCTGGTTAACTGATCCTAGTCTTTTGTCTTACCAGTACTATTTTTATAATAATTGTTTATTATTATTTAGTTACTTGATCATAAAAGTTTGCAAGATAAGACAGAATTATATTTTGTGCTGAAGAGGATCAGATAATCAAAATAAACAGAAGGGGTTAAACAAATTCTTTATTCTTTGTGGAAAAAAAAAACAGGGCCCACCAGTGGCCAAGCAGTTTTCATTCCCAAAACACTGGGAGTTTGGTCATGGGTTTGCACCTTGCTCGGACAGGCTGGCCACATGGAGTTTTCCAGGTTTTCTCCATGTCTGTAACACCTAAATAGAGACCAGTTTCCCTTAAAAAGACCTCCTGGAAGGCATCATCCTAGGCAGATTGCCCAAGTGTTGCATTGCCATAACTAAACAAACAAATTGGGGAAGAAAAAAATGAATAGTTTGAACTTCTAATTAAACAATTTATATAATACATATTATATACCCACTCTAATTTATATTCATAAAAACCATTAGAAAATAATTTATCCTCCTTGAAACTGTAAATGTTTGCAAATAAACCTTTATCATCTTTTGAAGAAATCAAAGTTTAACAGCTCATTTTGAAAATATCACTAATGCTTTCTTTGTATACATCCATAAATTTGCACCTTCAGAAATTTATTATGCAAATACCATGGTATATTAGATGATGTTTTTTGACTCATTTTGCACAACACATCTAGGTTTCACAATCTTAACATTGCATTACTGTGTGTGTGTGTGTGTGTGTGTGTGTGTGTGTGTGTGTGTGATCCTCTCTGTTGTGACCTATAAAATTTTGATACACTTGAAATTTGTACAGCTACATTTGTAACCATTTCATTAACACCTTCCACACTGTCTGGTGCAGCATTACTGGATTGTGAGAGGCTCTGTGTAATGACTTCTTAGGCTACATTAATATACCTCATGTACACGATGCACATGTTGAGTACATGTTCATCAGGAACTGGTGGACGACTACTCTTCCTCTGTGGACACAAACAACCTGTCATTATACCATTTCATAACCGACTTCCTGGTGCGTGTCTCTTTTCCACGTTCAGACCAAAAATAGTATTTCACTTGGACAGCAAACCAATTTCTGCCAAACTGAAGGACACAAAATGGTTTCTTAGCATTAGAAAACACAATGTTTTGCATGCTGTACCTCTAGCAGCCAACATTAGTAACTACAGTAGAATCTTGTTTTAATGGATCACAGAACAACAGATTTTTTCTACACCAATTCTATTGTAAACTTTACATTTTTTTTCAATGTTTAGTTAATATTTGAATGTTTCTGGAAATTTATAGAGTTTGATGATGCACTTGTTACATTTGGGATATGTACAATTGAAGAATTGTACAAAGAAAGTAAGCCGGCTGATACAATTGACGAGTCACTTAGTGAACACTGTCACTGGTTCAAGTGTAGTGCTGAAATTTAGCAAGGACATCGAGTATTTCCATGTTGCAAAGACCTTCCTGAGAAGTTTCAGAATAAATGAACAGGCTGTACTGTACAAGATATTGCTAATATCAAGCGGTGTTGTATTCAATAGACAGAAAAGCAGCATCGAAAGAAACCAAGATGGACAAGTTTTTTTCTAACAAATCACAAAATCTAGCAAAGTGCTAATGAGCATATGTAATTTGCCTCTATTTATTCTTACAGTATGTACAGTTTTTGTCAGCTTTGTCATATACAGGTATGGAATAATATACAATCGTATATGGCATAATATACACATATGTTACAAACATATGTATTTCTATGGGATAAAAAAATACAGATCTCAAGAGACTAAATAATTTCAAGTACTAGTATTTCTGATACATAGGGGTTAAAACCAGAAACTTTTTCAAATAACAAATATTTTCTTTGCTGTGCAATAAATCCGATGTTTGCAATATAATGGATTCTCGGAACAATGGACAATTTTTGGTGGCCGAGCAATCCATTAAAATGAGATTCTTCTGTATAAAAGACTTACTTTACAGACACCCTCTATTTATAAAACGTAACTAACAATCTTAATTCTGAGAACTGTTTAAATCTATAATAAAAAATATTTATAAAATAATGTATAATTCAGATAAAACTATACAACCAAAAGTAAAAAATATTAATCATTACCTGAAAATGTATTATCGGCAAATCGGAGTAGTAAACTGCTCTTCCCAACACCTAAAAATGAATTCACATTTAATTTATTTAATATAATTCAATTTTAATAATTCAAAACTATAAAAACAAGGATCGTTATAAAGACATTAGTGAAAATTAATCACTGAAAAATTCATTTTATAACTTTCAGAGTATATTATTAATAGATCAAAACTTTAAATTTGTCCAAAAAAAATTCTATTTGATTTCTACTTTAGTTTTAATTAGCTAGTTTCTACCTTATACTGGATATTTCTGCATTTTTACAATCTAACAGGCTTCAAACACTCTGCCACATTTTTAGAACAAACATTGGGCATTGATAAAATGATGCATGTGAAATTTGCCGTCACACACAAACTAATAAAGGGTTACCAATTCTGATCAAACTCAGTGAAGATATAGTGCTTACTGCTCAGCACAACTGATACATGCCGAGCAGTAAGGCACACTATTCAAATTTAAACAAGAAAAATTTAACTTGAAAATTGCACAATCACTTAAAATCTCTAGAATTTCTATTATTTATAGAGCAGTTAATGGTTCCATGGAGATATGACAGTTTTGTGATCAGGAGGTTGGTGTTTAGAATCTTGTTTTTCCTTTCTATAAAACTATAATTTTCACTTTATTCTTGTTTTTTTAATATATTGTATTTATTTAAAAATTATTTTCAAATGTTTATGTACTGTATGTATGGGATTAAAAAGTAATATTTATTTAGGATTTATTTGGGAAGACAGTAACATATAAATAAAAACTATCGTTAGTCAAGACCAATTTTATTAGTAAAAAAAAGCATTTTTATTGAAATTATTCAATTTAAGCAAAATTAAAACTTGGCTGATAGTATTTACATTTAAATAAAAATAGAAAATATCACAAATATACAAAATTATAAAATTTGTTTTGGACTAAAGTGACAAAAAAAGAAAAACAAAGATAAATTTTATTTGTGATATTTTATATTATTTTATGTAAATTATTCAATTTGTTTGCTATTTGGAAGCACAACTATCTAGATCAGTGGTTCCCAATTAGTTTTTCTTGCGTACCATTTCAAGAAAGAGCTCAAACTCACATACCCCTTATTGCAGAAATTCATATTAATCTATACTAATATTATAAATTCGAAGATAATGCTGTCTGTCTGTCGCCTTTTCACATCTAAACCGCTGAACAGGTTTTAATAAAATTTGGCACAGAGATAGGTTACATTTTACTGCGAGAAAATATCTTACTCCCACGAGAATATTCGATGTAATGCGGGCAAAGCTGTGGGTAGACAGCTAGTGATAGAATAATTTTTTTTTACATTTATTACCTTTAATTAAAATACATTTCTAATAATAATGAAAATAACATAGGGTTATTTAATTTTAATGCGACAAATGTGCACAATTTTCTTTGCACAACTTTGTAAAATCTGGTTGCTTTTTGGTCAGCTTCAGTCTCGAGTCATCTTCGAGTTGAAGTCGGTGACGATGTTTAGTTTTCATGTTTGTCATGGCCGAAAATCCGCTCTCGCAGAGGTATGTTGTGCAAAATGGTAGTAAATATTTTATTGCCGCTTCGCTGACATGATAATAATGATAATTGTACAATTAACACAAATTGTGTTAATTGTACAATTTTTGTTTCTTGCGTAAGAATTTCATTTAGGTATTGTCACAAATAAATTTTTTAAATGAAATTTTGAGAATATTTTTAGTTATAAATAAATGAATTTGTGCATTTGACATCATGCTGTAAATTGCCGAATTTTTGATGGTCCCCCATTATTTTTTTGATTGCTTCATCTCATGCATTTAAATTTTAAATCAACCGATTTTAGATTGCCGCGCGTACCCCTTCGCGCAATTTCGCGTACCCCTGGGGGTATGTGTACCACTAATTGGGAACCACTGATCTAGATGACAATTAGTGCAGAAGTGTGTGAAACAAACATTTCTGTAGTGTGTCATGTCATTGTTCGAATTTTCATCAAAAATGTTCATTTTAGCCTGATACTGATTTGCTTTTTCAAAAATCATTAGGCCAATAATTGGTACTCATTCAGAGTATTTTGGTTGTCTTAGATGCAACCTTGCCTCTATGTTTTTGTGGGTTCATTATTTCTGATTACGATGACAGAAAAGAGCAAAGAAAAGTTACGTCATAGAGCAGAACATGTGTTACATGTTCTGCTCTATGACGTAACTTGACAGAACTTTGTGAACATGTGTTACATGTGCCTAAAGTGGCACACCAGGAAAATGTCATCTGGCATGTAATACATCATAGAATTTTATTTTATCGCCAGTCTTTTTTAAATCCTTTCAGTTTATCACCCAATTCTCCTTTTTTTGATCAGCTTCTCTACATTTATTCTAATCAAAGCATACTTTAATTTATTTAAATATTGTTATTTGAAGTCTAAAATTCGGCAACCATAAATGTTTTTAAAGATAAGTATGTTTATTATATGGCATGTAGACTCAAAAAAGTTCACCGTCTTTGTCATAAACTGTCAAGGATTACATGTAAAATCATCAATAATTTTCTGCTGATGTAAGTTTTTCCAGTTATCTGATTACTTCTATTTTCTTTGTAACAACCAGTTCCACACATTTTCTTATCGTGCCTTTGCCACTTTTCCCCCTTTCATTCTCTTCCTGTAAGATTTTCAGATTAAATATGTTATAAATGCTAGAATTGCCATTAAGCAGAAGCTAACTGACAGCATTTATTGTTAATACTACCAGAAGTTTGGTTTAGAACAATTTCCCAATTGCACTCTGCCTAATATTTTTGCTGGTCCGGAAAAAAGTGTGAGAATATTAATTAAGATATCTCAACTCAAAATTTTGAAATTTGTCTTCAGTCCATTGAGAATAATATGTCTAAATTTTACTGACATATAATACCCTCAACACCATATCAATTTTTCTGGATTTATTTATTACTAACATTTGACCATTTTAAATGACTCTCATTGCGCTGTAATCAAATGAAAAATTAGAAGTGCTAAAAGAACACAAATTAAATATATAAAAGAATAACTTTTAGAGATTCAAAACTTGATAATGTTAAAAATGTAAAGAAATATTCATATAACAGTACAGTAGATCATCGATTATCCGACTCAATTGGGGACTCAGGTTGGTCGGATAACTGAAAAATCGGATAACCGAAAAAAATGAAAAAAATACATTATTAGTATAGTATATTAGTATATCCCATGTAATTAGTATATTAGTTAGTATATTGCTATTAACCAACTTGTCATTGAATTTTCATCGATGTTAAGCCTAACAAATTTTTTTTNAGGTTGGTCGGATAACTGAAAAATCGGATAACCGAAAAAAATGAAAAAAATACATTATTAGTATAGTATATTAGTATATCCCATGTAATTAGTATATTAGTTAGTATATTGCTATTAACCAACTTGTCATTGAATTTTCATCGATGTTAAGCCTAACAAATTTTTTTTAAAAATAATAATCGTCTCTATCGTATCGTTAAAAATTATTTTTGAATTATTTTATTGCTCACAAAACAAACAACCAATCATAATTAGAAAATTAAGTCTCGTTTAAATACTGGCCTCCCTTTCATGGTCGAGCCATGTTGCCAGCTAAAACACGCAAAAATTCAACAAAAATAATATTAAAGTAGCCAAAACATAGCCAAATATTGTAGTGCCGCATCACTAGCAGACATTTGAAATTTGCTGACTAGAACGGTCAGTTAACCGATGCTCTACTGTATTTTTAATCTTGATGACAGACACAAAGCCTGAAAAATGCTTATTTTATAAAAAATTAATTCTCCAGAAAAGCATTTCAAACTGAAAATCAAATTACAAAACATACATTTTCTATTAATAAATAGAAAAAATATTATTTCAGACAATAAAAAAAATAGACCTTAATTTCTCTGAATGGATTATATACATACAGTACCTTTAATGTCAGAACTATTTACAGCATTTTCAAAGTAAATAACAAAATTCATATAAAAAGAAATCCAGCAACGAGTTGCTTAACTTTCCTGGCAACATTTGGTGCCATCTGTTATGATATTTTATTATTAAAAACTTTTTATATTTTTAACTATTATAAAATGGCAAAAAGCTTAATTTTGAGAATAAGGATAGGTTTTATAAAAAATTGTAAATTCTAATAACGAGTAAAATTGTCATTAAGTTCGACCCTACTGGAGATACACACGACTCTTTATCTTCCCATCCCCTTGACCTTTAATCAACAAAATTTAATAGCATCAATCCCCAATATAAACAAACCTCCCTGCAAAATTTAAGAAATTTTCGACAAAACACACAGCTTCAAAGTGGGTAAACAAAATCGTTCCACTCATAGAAACACATAGAAACATCCATACATACAGAAATTACCCCTGAATTTTTTTGCATTTCTCAACATTTTAAGGTTCTAAGTCCAAAAATGTAAAAATCTTTGGAGTCATTTTTTGACTAATTGCCATACTTTCCCTCTGTTATACACACTGAAGAGCAATTGAATTAGGGATACATGTCTAGTAGCGTGTAGCACCACCTTTTGCCTTGATGACGGCTGCAGTTTGTCTTGGCATGGACTCCACAAGACACTGGGAAACCATACATATCCATGAGTCCTGAATAATCTCCCATAAATCACGAAGATTAGATGTAAGGTGGTCGGAGCCTCGAACANACGAAACAGATCTTAGAAGTGCTACGGGACATCGTATTTATACCTATGGAGTTTTAAGTCCCACATTTCAAATTGGCAACTTACGTTTCGTATTTGAATGTTGTATAGTAAATACTGATGTCACATATCCTTGTGATGGAATAATTGGACGAGATATGATGTTAGAAAAAGGATTTAATATTGACTTTCAAAAGGGAAATTTAACTATCCCACCGCGAACTAATATTCCCTTCATCGATCCATCCAAATATATATGCAGCCAAAATATGCCTATAAAGGAACTAGTGCATAAAGTGCGACCCTCTAAAAAGAGAGAAAAAGACG